TTTCATAGAAATATAGTCTATAACTTTATTTTCTTAAGCCCACATAATTAAACATTCGAGTTACATAAAACATGTGAATTTTGACATTATGTACTATATAGTCTATATAATAAGTAAATAAGTATGAAAGCTACACAATGTGTGGTGGTTCATGCAAGAATAAATGTTTCACATTTGTTTTTTATTTGAAATAATCAAAATGTTACAACAGGGGTGGGAAACTCCAGGAACTTCAGGACATGTTGAGGAGGTCATTTAGCCATTTAAATCAGCTGTGTTGGATCAAGGACACATCTAAAACCTGCAGGACCTGGAAAGCTAGAAAACAGAACAGAACTATTTCAAGTCCTGCTTTCCAGGCCCAGGCTCCAGGTCCAGGCCTGCGTTACATGCTTGCATTTACACAAAATATCAGAAATCTGCAATGTCATGAAAGATTTTTCACCAGTAGTTTAGACCTGATTATTCATGCCGATTGCCGTTTTTTATCTTCACAATCTCTCATCCTGTTTTGCTTCCTCCGTCCTGTTATGGCTGATTAGTTCCTTCTGTGTTCCCCAGCTGCCTGCACTTTTCATTTGTATTTTGCACACCCACATATAAAGACTCACTTTTAGTTAAGGTTCCATTCTGTCTCAAGAGTCTGAATTTGGATCCACATTTAGCGATGTGCAAATAGAAAATAGAAAATAGAAAAACATTTTTTCAATAATCATATGAAAATGGCTTGATTGGTCAGTTGATTCTATAAACTTATGTAATGTAGTAGTTGGCTGTAGAAGTGCTTGGGGAACAGAGGGTGCTGCTTGTGTAACTAAGGAGGATCTGTCATGACCTCTACAGTGGCAGTGCTGTGGAAGGGGACATTGATTTTTACGAAGCATCTCACATTGTGTAGCAGTACCCACTGGTTTAGACCAGCCATACAATCAGTCAGGGGAAAAACAATTATTTTTCATGTGTGTTTTTCTGGCATTTTCCCTGAATGGTTCAGGGAAAATGCAACTTCGAGTTTGAAGCTTGTATCTCTTTCATATCAGCCATCATTAGTGTAATTATTTTAGAGAATTAAAATGATTATTTAGGAAATGCTTAGGAGAATTAACAGAAATATGGATTTTATGCTTGTGAGGAATAGTACAAAGCAGCATAAGCCTGACTCTCAGAACTAAATCAACAACTGTATATGGCTGCCTAACTCATTTCTAATAAAACAGTATAAATTGCCATTCTGGTATGTTTTGGACCATGTGCAGTTTTAGTCCTCTAGAGGGCACAGTTACCCCATGACAGGCCATAACAAATATGTTTTCCTACGCCACCATCTGATCTTAATCTGTTACACAATGTTAGAGGCAAAAGCTGCAGAAACCTGTGTTTTTGGCTGACTTTTTACTAAAGGTATTTCAAAGACGTAAACAAGAAGAAAATTTTTAGGAAAGAACCTTAAAAGAATTTTTTTTTGACATGTAAAATACTTTTTTTTTTAAAGTTCTGAGTTCAGGTTAACCCGTGAAACCTGAAAGCGGGAAACTGGAATACAGGAATCAAAGAGTAGCCAGGAATATTGCTTAGTCTGGATCCACTAGGATTTCAAGAAGTGCTGCCTGACTAACAACCTGATTTAATGTCAGGGCCTAAATGACAGCTGAACCTGCTAAATCACTTACACTTTCACTTACTTAATTCGTTAATTGCATCTCTCTCTTTTTTCCTTTTATCTCTTTGGTTCAGATTCTTTGTCGTTTCCTATAGAATAGCGACATTCTTAAAAACTGTACCAATTTTCTTGGTACATTTTCAGCTGTGCACCTCAAGTAGTGGTGGGAGAAAACCACACTACACTGTAAATCTCAAAGAGGAAGGAGGTGGGCTTAACTGATGTAAGAAATAGTCTGAACCTCATGTGACTTAACGATACGATGGGACAAACCACTCTGCTTTGCCTGCTCTGTAAGTATAGACATTTGCCTATGTTATAAAATAATTAATTATTAAAATCTGTCTATATTATAAAAATTACATTACTAATGTCAAAGTTGTACAAAAAGAACACTAAGCTTTTACTTTCAAAGTTGCAGACTTTAATTTTACAAGACAAATTGAACTCTAAAATGTGAGTTTCAACATAAGGAAAACAAATGCGATGACCAAATGTGCAAAAAAAAATATAACTGGTTTAAAAGCTGGTGTATGAACTTTGTAGCTACCGATGAATAACATATTCTTTTGTGGGGGGATTTTACTGTTATATCTTTTTCACACATTTGAGGTATGAAAGGCATAAACTTCAAGAAAGAAGAAAAGAGCTCTCAGGATACAATCACCGTTGAAATGACCAGAAGAGGTCACCTGTAAAACAAAACACTAAACATTAAACTGGTTAAAACTTTTCTTTTGAATGTGATGATGTTTTCATGGATTTAAGCAGGATGCACAGATGCCTTCCTTTGGGTTAAGCTACAATACAATACAATTTTATTTAGATAGCACATTTAAAACCAAAAGTACACCAAAGTGCTTCACAGTAGTGCAATAGTCATTGTTATTAAACATTAACAAAGTACAAAAACAAGCACTAGTACTCGTACTATCAGATGGGAAGCACTACTTAAACCAGGAGTGTGGGTTAAATAAATTGACCAGATGATCTTAAGGCTCGACTAGGAGTATACAAGCTAAGAAAGTCGGCAAGATAGCTAAGCGCAATGTTTTTTATAATTTTAAAGGTAAGCAACAAGATTTTAAAATTAATATGATATTTGATGGATAGTCAGTTTTAGTCAGTGTGAACTGGAGTAATGGAAGCAAATGTTCCAGGAGACAAGCCGCAGCATTTTGAACAAGCTGAAGTCTATGAAGATGGATGGCAAATCCAATAAAATGAAAACAGCGGGGTGACCTGAGTCAGCAATTAAAAGAAAATCGTTAAAGACCCTCTGCAGAGCCGTTTCGGTACTGTGGCGTGATTTAAAGCCAGACTGAGATTTATCACTAATACTATTTGTGTTTAAGTAGGCCTGTAGTTGCAATAACACAATTTTCTCCAATACTTTAGATAAGAAAGGGAGTTTGGAGATCAGCCTATAGTTTGCAGGATCATTCTGGCTGCTCTTTTTTTTAGAACAGGTTGCACTATCACATGTTTAAAGGCTGTCGGGACACAGCCCACTAGTTCATCATCATCCAAGATAGAATATAAGGCCCAATTCCATCAAAACCATCCACCATCCAGAATTCAAACTTCTCAGCTGTTTAATTAATCTCTTGAGGGTGGACAGTGAAATTGGCTCAAACTGATAGAAAGTTGACATTCATCCTAAAGTAGGAAGAAGATTCACCACAGAAGGGTGTAAAAGTGAGGCCCTTGAAAATAAATTTTTTTCTTGTAAAATGATTTAAAAATTGCCTACAGAGAGCTACGGAGGCCAAAACCTACATTCCAGGACAAGGATTGATCACAGAGTTACAGATTTTGAACAGGATTCGGGGGTTGTGGCTATTAGTCTAGGCTATTAGCAAAACATGAAATCTCAAGACAATAAAATGAAATTGGGCCAAGTGTGCAAAGAAAATCTGAAGTGGTTTAAAAGCTGTTATTAATTACAGTGTTTAAGATGTACTTCTACCTTTGACCTGTTTCAAAATTCTACATGTTGTATGAGTATATACAAAACTATATAGAAAGGAGATGGATGCAGTTTTGTTTTGTTCAAAAGTTGAACGAAAAGAAAACAAAGGAATTGCATGTTGAAGTGTTTCAAGACCGTTCTATCAGCCAAAATTAGCCAAAATTAAATTATTTCCCTCATATAGATGACCTTTGATGAACTCCTTAATTATGAGTTTGGACACCTTACTATGTATCAATAAAGACATTGTTCGATAATCATGGCTTTTCCAAGGGTAGCCCTAGTGAAATGTAGGCAGAGATCAAACCCAGCCCTTTTTAATGGAAAATGAAATGAAAATGAATCGCCTGAAATATAACAGAACCCACACATTTCAGAAAGGAGAAAAAAACAAAAGATTAAAACGATTAATTGACATCCGAGGGGGAAACAGCTATTGTTAATTATGAGTGCATCTTGTTAACTGAGCTACCTAGCAAATCCCAGAAAAAGTCATTGGTTCTAACTGCTTGTCCAAATTTGCCAAATATGGTCTAGTTTGTTCTGCACAAGCTGTCACAGTAGCTACTTCCTTTTTAAAATATAGTATCTGATCTTAACCAGAGTTAAAACTAACAGACTCATTTCTCTGCAGTGCAGACATCTTTGCTCATCAGCAGATCAACACAAGGTAAGTAAACCTCTTGGAAAAAAGTAACATTTTCAGTGCGTGTGTGTTTCTATATTTTTTTTGCTATATTACTAATGAAATATTCACATGAAATACAAGAATGTGAACATTCTACACATGATGCAATAACAGTGAGTGCAATAAATTCTCCCACAGCTCATCTGACTGTGAGTCCCAGCAGCTCTCAGTTGTTTGAGAACGAGTTTGTGTCTCTGAGCTGTGAGGAGGACGACAGCTCTGCTGGATGGACTCTGAGGAGAAACACAAGTCAAGACATCAGTAGTGAGTGTGGACCTGGTTGGGGAAAACCAGCTGGTTCTTCCTGTAACATCAGTTACACTGACACAGTTGACAGTGGAGTTTACTGGTGTGAGTCCAGAGAGGGTCCCATCAGTAACATGGTTAACCTGACAGTCACTGGTAAGCTGAGTGTGTGGAGTTAGTGTTGATGAAGCTGTGTGTAAATGGATGAAATGCTGTAGTTTGTCTCTGTGTTGAGGTGGATCAGTGATCCTGCAGAGTCCTGTCCTCCCTGTGATGGAGGGAGATGACGTCACTCTGCTCTGTAAAACAAAGACCACTCCCTCCAACCTCCCAGCTGCTTTCTATAAAGATGGCTCCCTCATCAGGAAGCAGCCTACAGGTCACATGACCATCCAGCATGTTTCCAGGTCTGATGAAGGCCTCTACAAGTGTGACATCAGCGGTCATGGAGAGTCTCCATCCAGCTGGATCACTGTCACAGGTGACACACTCACCTGTCTGTGTTTCTGCAGCTTTCAACATTCACAATGTGACGACAACTTAATGACTGTGTTTGCTTTATTTTAGGGGAACACACCACCACACCTCCACCTACATCCACACCTCCACCTCGTTCTACTTCTCTTCCTCCATCACTTGCTCCTCCAGTTCTCTTTGTGTTGTCATTTGTTGGGTCAGTCTGTGTTGTGACTTTACTGGTGGTACTGGTTCTGCTGGTGAGACGACTTGTTAACAGGAAACTTAAAGGTGAGGAGATTTCAGGGTTTCTCTCTTTTCAGCTTCAAATTTTAGTCTTACTTCATTCACAGAGTAAGCATATATAGCAGCTGGATAGCGTATTCAACTCCCCCCCCCAGGATGTCTAGATCCAGTAAGGGTCCCCAGGCTAATCAAGCCTAGCCTACCTTGAACATAAGCAAGCAAGAGCAATAACTGGTGTCATATACTGCCCTTTACTTTCAGTGACAAACAACAATGGAGCCGAAATCAAGCCAATATCAGTCACCATCTAATGCGGGATTTCCCAAGGTGCCCTGTCCACACTGCTGTTATAACTTTGTGTGATTATCAACAAGACTGGCTACAGATCCTGACTAAGGAAAGGAGCAAATCTGAACTACCTCTTCTATATGAATGGCATCAAGCCGTATGCCAAGAGTGATTGATAAAACCTCCAGTTCAGTGGAAGGCTCTAACCTATACTTCCCAAATGAAACATCTTTTGCCTGGCTTTGTATTTGCCATCAGTGACATCAGTAGTGGCTCATCCTGCAGCATTATTTGTCCTTGAGATGCTTTCAAAGAGTTGAGACATACTTCAAGATGACAAACTGATTTCAGGTCACAGACAGGAAGGCAGAGACAAGGAGACAGGGCCTGCTATTACAAGACAAAGATCAACACAGCACTAGCGTAACATCACAAAGTGTTCTGGTTATTGTAGGGACCACAGACCTGTTTTGATGATTGTGGGCCATAGATTGCAGAAGCTGCATGCTTCCACTACCCATATGGCCTACTTTTAATCCTTTGGGGGGTGGGGGTTCAGCTCTGTTTTCAGTTTCAAAACAAGACATTTCTGTATGAAAAAAACTGTCTGGTTCTTGTATCCTGTCTTATTTGTACCTGGGATAAGGTGCCTGCATCATCTGCACAGTTACGTCCTCCCTAAAGCAGCTGTTTCACTGCTAGTCGCTGATTTAAGAAATTTATTTTTTCATTATGTCCATTTGAATTTGAATACTGGAGACAAAAGAAGGGGATCAAATAATTTTGCATCATAATCAAAATATTAACAGCAGTACTTAAATGACTGTCTGCAGTGATGTCCTCTGTGTTTTATTGTGCAGAGACTGATCCAGCTGCAGTCTACTCAGCAGTGAGAACTGAAGACGTCAGTTATGGACCAATTATCATCCTAGAGAAGAAAAGAAAATCAACGAAAAGAGGTACAGCTGCGCTTATTTTTCTTCATCATGGATAAAAAATGAGAAAGAGAGTCCAGCAGGTGTTGAGATTACTGTCTGCATGAATGTGACACTGTTTACTGTTGAGCAAAGCATCTTTATTTAAACAGGGCTGAAGTCAGTGTGAGATCATCACAGTTTTTTCACGGGACGCAGACACGTTTCTTTCATCAGATTCATAAAGCTGTGTGCATGCATGCCTCGGCTTTAATTACATTTCCACTCTCATCTGTAGAAGTGAAAGCTCCCGCAATACTTGAAGCAGAGACACCAAGTTAACTGTCCGTTCAGGCTTGTAAGGCCATCGCCTTCAGACTTTTTCATCTTTTCTGTGCATCATGGAAGATGCATGATGTGAAGTTATGGCAGAAGTCTTGACTAATATCTTTAATCATGTGTGGGTGTAGTCATTGCAATATTCTTTTTTTTTTGCATAGAGAATTACTATTTGCACCAAAGGTTATAAGTAGGGATGGGTATCGTTTAGGTTTTATCTGATACCGGTGCCAAATCGGTACTTTTGAAACGGTGCCGGTGCTTAAACGGTGCTCGAACCGGTGCTTAAAGAATGGAGAACACAAACTTTGTCCAAAAACCTCTCATGTTCAGCTGTTTTTTTGTAAAAAGATAACAATGTTAGCCTTTTCTGCAGCTATGGGGCATATATGGTATCACTCTTGGCTGGAAGCAGTGCTTAAACAATGGAAAAAACACAACTTTGTCCAAAAACCTCTCATGTTTAGCTGTTTTCCACTTTTTCTTTGGTCATTTTAGCCTTTTTGGCCAGGGTGAAGGGAGTATCTGCCATCAAACAAGAAGACAGCCGCATGTAGCTATGATGATGTTTGCTAGTTCACCTTACCTGCATTAATGTAATAACGTGGTTAGCCTACTCAACGTAAATTACACACGAACAACATTAAGCTACTCCGCAGAGAAGAACGGCTGCTGCTGCATCATCATCCGTCATCATTTCTGCTACACTGGCAGGGCTAGGGGCCAGGACTCTATTCTTCGGGTTTTTGGGGGATGTTGCTCCGGGTCCGATAACTGGCAACCACACCCGCAGTAGTCCGGTGTGAGGTCTCGCAGCAAGCTATCAAATACGGCGCATTTCTGGCTTTTAACAAAACACTATGCGTCGCCAGCTGTTTCATCAGATTCGGTGTTACCTCCTTTGACAGTATCACAGTATCAGCTTAAAGCACTTGTTGCGTGCTGAGTTTGCATATTTTGCTGTGAAGTACAGCCAGACTTTTGACCGCTTCGCCTTGGCATTTTTAATCTGTAGCTCTGCTCTAAAAGAACGTACGTACCTGGCCCCGCCTACTATCCTCGGAAACGTAAAATGATTGGCTAGAAGTGTATCACAGCTCAGGAAAAAAAAGCACCGAAATAAAGCACCGAAATGTGCGCTGCTTTTCGGTCTGGTTACTACCGTTTATGTCAGAACCGGTGCCATCATGGCATCCGGATCATCCATCCCTTCATGCAGCACTGGCATGGCTATGGCCAGGATGTATTTTGGTTTGGGGGATGTTGTCTTCCCGCTGGGTGCCGATAACTGTGCACCCATCCACGACGTAGCACCCGGTTAGTGGTCTCCGCAGCAAGACTATCGAAATACGGTCGCATTTCTGGGCTTTTAAAAAACAACGCTATGCGTCGCCAGCGTTTAATCGATGTCTGTGGCGCTGTTATCCTCCTCGACAGTATCCACAGTATCAGCTTAACAGCACTTGTTGCAGGCTGCTGCACGTTTGCATATTTTGCTGTGAAAGCGTACAGCCAGACTTATGACCGCTTCGCCTTGGACTTTTTTAAATCTGAGAGTGCTCTGCTCCACTAACAGAGAACGATACGGTACCTGGACCCGCCTACTATCCCCGGAAACGTAAAATGATTGGCTAGAAGTGTATCACAGCTCAGGAAAAAAAAGCACCGAAATAAAGCACCGAAATGTGCGCTGCTTTTCGGTCTGGTTACTACCGTTTATGTCAGAACCGGTGCCATCATGGCACCGGACACCGGTACCCATCCCTAGTTATAAGACATGTAACTATCTGCAAAGAAGTGCAGCTCAGTTAAAAATATTGCAGTTAGTGTGACGTACATGCATCCCATGATTTTAGCATGTTTTCATGAAAACAGTGCTTTGATCCGTTGTTTGGTTTAATATTAACCTTCAGTTCCAGTTCTGTTTTCTTCTTTCATGACAGTAAAGAAAAGGGTCAAATAAATACATAATAAACCTATAAATGCCAACAGTTTCAGTTTAACATTTTTGTTTGATGTTTGCTGCTGCAGCACTAAACAGATGTGTGTCTGTCTTATTCCTGTTCATACAACATAAAAAAAGAAGTGTAAATAATCTAAATAGTTTTTTGTCATATTAAATGTAATGGTAAGTGCCAGTATGAATGTAGAACTGCACTGATGTCTTCTTTGTGTGTTTTATTGTGCAGAGTGTGATCCAGCTGGAGTCTACTCATCAGTGCGAACTGGAGACGTCAGTTATGGACAAATCACCATCAGAGACAAGGAAAACAGATCAAAGACCAGAGGTACAGCTGCTCTTCTTTGTCTCCATCATGTGTTTTTGTCCTTCATAAGGACGATATTTGTTGTAAATATTGAGATGCTATTTGATTATCTGTTTATCTATCATCTATCTATCTATCATTCATTACCTTTATGCTAACCATCATTTCAAAGAATTTGAAGTGTGCACTTTGTTTGGAAAACTAAAAAAATACTCTGTTAGTGCAGTTTTGCAGTTTTTTAAAACTCAGTTTGCTTTAAAATCATTGTAACTTTGGTGATCTCTGAGGATTTTTAGATGTGTTTGCACTTTTTTGTCTCCATAGAAATGCAGGGCTTAGTCTACCTTAGCTTACTAAAGACAGTACTATACCATGTAGGGTATATTTTGTCACAAAGTGCTGGTGTTTGGGTTTGGAGTGATAGGATCAACTTTTCTAGCTTCAGTAAGAAGGCAAGCCACAGCATTCAGAATTTAATACAATTGCACATAGCTCAACATCAGACATGACCAAAAAATGGTCAGAAATACCAGCATTGTCAGAAATTCCAGCATTGTCGATGTTCATATTACAAATATCCAGAGAAAATGAGAGGACCAAATCCAAAGTATGTCCTTTTAAAAATTGTTAGGCGAAATTATAATGATGTAAATGTTTCCAGTCTCCTGGTCACATTGGTGTACAAGACAGCCCATTGACTTCAAATATATGAACACTTCAGAAAAGGAAAAACATTCCCACTATGAAGATGTCATAGTGAGTGATCCAAACAACACAGCAATGTATTAATGATTAACTGCGTTTGAGATTTTGAGATTTCCCTTATTCTTGTGTCACACTGTACTAAGCAATTTGTGGACTCAAATAGAGAACTCAGGACTACAAGGTGAAACAAAAAAGCTTTTATTGTTGGCTATTCAACAAGTTCAAAGCAAACCACAGAAAAAGACTTCTAGGGGAAACTCAGAACAAGGAGCAGACAGCTGTGAAAGTAGAACCGACGACTCAACATGAAAGCAGTGGGAGACAGACAATAAATACACAGCAGGTGATTGAACTGGTAGAAAACACAGAAAGAACAAATTAATGTGACAGAGGACGTTAAATTAAACATGATGTACATGAGTCAAGAGCCCTAACAAAATAAAACAGGAAACAGAACAGTGGGACAGAAAATAAAAATAAAACTCAGAGCAGAACAAGATGAGACAGTAGATCAATATATTATGTATGGTTTTTGTGTGTGTATATGTGTGTGTATATATATATATATACACACACACACACATATACATACATACAAGACAGCAGACAAATGGAAGGTCACTAAAAACTAAAAACAAATCAAATACCCTCATAAATGATGATTATTATTATTGTTATTATTATTATGTATTGCTGATGCCAGAACAATAAACTATATGGCACTATTTGGCACTGATCACCACCTGCACTCATGTATATATCTTTCTACGTAGCACTCATAATTCTTATTCTCATGTATATCTCATGCACATATCTTTCCTTCTACATAGCACTTTAATTCTTATTCTTATTGTTTGCACTGAAGCACCGCAGCAATTTCCTAATGTTGTAAACCTCAACATCTGGCAATAAACCCCATTCTGATTCTGATTCTGATTCTGATTCTGATTCTGATTCTGATTCTGATTCTATATTGTAAAACCTTGGTAAACAGCCACACTGATTATTTTAACTGAAGGCACATTCTTAAAGTAATAGAGTACTTCTTCGATTTTATCAAGAGTATTCAAAGCAAAACTCATGCATTATTTTAACTGTGACTGGTCCCATGTTGTTTGAACTTTTCAGAGTCGTCGCCTAGTCCTCGCTGAACTCCAACCGCTGGAATCCAGCTGCTGTTCCATGTGACCTGAGGACATTCATTACAAATCATATCTGTATATATTGTCTTTAATCTTTTCATTAAATTCAAGGCCACATACTGATGGACCAAAAACCCAAAGAGAAATTAATGTTTTTGGTAGAATAAAAGCTAAACTTCTTTAACGACTTTAAAGAAAAAAAAATACAAGTATATTTTCATCACCTTGTCTTTCAGCATCTCAGTATGGCCATAACAGCAACATGTATCTGTATAATACATGTTATATGAACAATAAATAACAATACTATCTTGTCTATATCTAATATATACATGTAAAGTAATATATTTAACATACTTAGTTACTTGTAGAACCCTGCTGTTGTCTCCACTGCAGTGATCTGTACTCTCTGCAGGACTTTGGTTGGACTTGTTCTTCTCGTGTGGTTCTGTGGGTTTCATGAAGATGTCTGATGGAAAATGTGAACTGTTGTTGCTAACACATGCACATGCACAAGCTTGAGAACAAAGTGTGGATGTGGTTAATGAGTTTTGATTTAAGTAAATGAATTGTGTGAGACTTTAGATGCTGTTTGAACTAAAGACGTCTCCATCAGTAGATAAGAATTAGCGCATGTGCATCTTAGTTACAGTGTTGATACCTGTGGTTGTCCTTGCACAGGACAGTGAGGACATATGTGCTGTCTATACTCATTCAGTCTGATATGATCTCAGTTTCCATTCAGTCAAAATCGGGGTCAGATTATGCTGCAAAAACAAATGCTCAGAGAAAGACTGATATACTAAGAGATATACTCAAGTAGAGTTACCAGAACCACCAGGATCTTTCCAGCCACTTTAATTATATGCATAATTAGTCAGTTCACAGCCAACTATAGGTGCATTCCAGGAGCATCCACAGACAGCAAAAAGCACTAACCACAGTTTAAAGCACAGTCTGGTGCTGCCATCTAGTGACACTGAAGAATGACTGATTTTAGGATCATTCCTGGTCACTTTAACTGCTGCATGTATTTTTGATTTCTTCTATCTATGTTTACAAAATGTATAGCGCACAGGGAACACAGAAAGACACATCTATACTACAATCATTATAGTATAATGTTGTGGACGTTATAGTGTGACTGATCATTTTAATCTGACATTTCATTCTTTGCTCAACTGCACTGTGAAAAGCACAGATGTTTACAGTATTTGTATAAGTTATATACATGCTGCCACTCACAGTGCCTGTGTAATGTTAATGCAAAGTTTCATCAAGCTCAGCCCACTCACCTTAGGGAGCACACAGTCACACATGCATGTCTATGCTGCAGTTAACACAGTATGATACACACAGCAGTCATGGAGTAATGCAGAGTCTTTGTCATTCTCCCAACTCCTTCAGTTCATCATCTCTCACTCACTGTCATCTACATAAAGAGCTACACATAAATTAGCATAGATAGATAGATCCGGACAGAGCTACAGACCCATGACACTGTTACCCAGTTAGCTAGCAGCTAATGACCACCACTATTTGTGCAGTTAATGAAAATATAGGTGATGTTTGTTGTGGTGTCGCCAACACAGCACACTCATTTGTTTCAATTCGTCAGGTGTCTAAATGGATTGGTTCTTATAGAGCACTTTTCTACTCTGAGCACCCACAGCGCTTTGCCTCATTGACCCATTCACACAAGCCCTTTTTTTTTTGCTCTTTCTATCTAACACGCACACACATTGGGGTATAATCTTGGCCAAAGATATTTGCCACGCAGGCTGGAATTTAACCACCAACATTGCCACTTATTGGGTACACCTGTTCAACTGCTTGTTAATGGAAATATTTAATCAGCCAATCACATGGCATTAAGTCAATGTATTTAGACATGTATCATTTTATGATGCTTCATGCTACATGTTGATTCCTAAGTGCTTAGTTTCAATTTGATCCCGGTTATAATATAATATTATTTGGAAACTTTTCATGGGAATCATTCAGTCTAAGTCATCAGTCATGCAGGTCTTTCCACACAGCAGCTGTTTCTTTACAGTTCGTTTTCCTTAAATGGAAAGAACTGCTGACCTCCCTGGGGACATAATTAGACAGTGTTTACAAATTTTAGTTGTTCATTGAGTTGTCAAGTGTGATCTGTCAGGGGAGTGTGTGTCAGGGGAGTGTGAGACAGTCCAGGAGGAGAAAATCACAATCAAGCTCAGTATGTTTGTGATGTCATGAGTATGACTAAAATACTTATTGATCATTAGTGACAGAGGTCTTTCATTTTTTTTAAAGAAAATAGTATTTCTTTTCCTGCTTCTTGGCAAAATAAGAACACTTTGTTCATGGATGAAGATTATATATGACATGAAGGATAACCTGAGACAGGCCTGTAGTCTTAAAAACATTTTTAGAAGAAAAAAAATCAAATGTCACTTCTGTGCAGCTTCTTTGCAACATATACAAACCTGGTCATGAAAGGAGGCTCTGTGTTTGAGCATTGTGAGGGGGGATGTTACTCAGGTAAAGGGACCAGGCGAGCTACAATGAGGCCCTCAGGTATTCTTCCGTTTTCTGGTATGTTATTATTCCCGATGAGTCAACACACATCCAGACATGATGCAATCGTGTTGTGTTAGTCTGAGTCCAGAACTCAGAGTCAGAGAGTAACAGATGGCATCTCAGTCTGACATCAGGTTTGTTTCTTTGAATATGCATGCTCACCTGGTCATCAGTGGATTTCTGTCTCCCTGCTGGACTTGACACCCGAGGTGTGTTTCAGCGAGATCTCTGCTCATATCCTTGTTCTGATAAGCTTAAAGAAATCTTGTTCATCTTGGATGTGTTATTAAATCTACTGAGTTACTGAGGCAGCATCACCTGAAGCAAATATGTGTGACATCAGAGGTATGAGTTCACATCATACTCTGAAACTGATACTGTCAGCCCGCAGAGACAAAATACATGATGAATACATCATAGAAGATCATAGAAGACCCACTGTTTTAAAAAAAATAAAGACACGCCTGTGTCCCATTGTTGGCTTTTAGAGTACAACAGGTTTTCAGTAACTTGTCTGATTCTTTTATAAGAGAAAAATGCATGACGTTGAACCACCGGATGAAACTGAAATACGTATAATATACAAACAGGTTAAACATGAACAAAATACATCACAGAGCTTCAGATTCTGCCCACATGTCAAGTGTACAGCACTTTGTGTTCAGCTGGTGGCTGATCTGAAAGCGCTATATAAATAAATTGCTTGCTTGCTTGCACATGATGTCAGCAGTAATAACTTTCCATTCAGTAAAACAAGTCCTTGACATCTTTCAAACCCCTTTCATATTCATGTAGGAGTTTTGTTTTGTTTTTCTGTTGTGTGTGTGTGTGTGTGTAGTTTACGTCATCAAGGTTATAATTTAATAACATGCTTATAGTGATTGGTGTATGAAGCCCTCTGACAGTTCTTCACCAGCAGGTGGCAGCACAGGAGATTCTGTCAACCCAACAACACATGGAGGCTTTCACTGTGACCTCTGACCTTTAAGCCTGAAAACTTTTGAATTAACGAAGCGTGGTGCTGCTCTCTGTTTTCCTCCATGTTCCTCCAGCGGAGCGGACGGAGGCAGCTACACCCCGCTGCCTCCGTCCGCTCTGCTGAGAGGGAAAAAAAAGAAAAGAAAACGAGGAAAACTGTAAATATGAGCTGATAGAGAGCAAAAGAATCTTCACTCAAAAAAATGAAATTGGGTGGTTGTTACATGTACAAGATTCAAACTTGTAATTTGAACGAAATAATTTCATGTTTCTATGGCGAACGTAATTAAATCATGTAGCATCTGCATGAAATTCGGCAACTTAATTTGTTCTTGTTGAGATGACATGATACAGTCTAGTGAGAGTGGTTAGTTGCCTGGACCCACGAAATTCACAAGATCACATTAGATGTCAAACTGCAGAAAATCACTGGAGTTTTAAGAGGCAGACAATTACACCCACATCATGTGTTTGCTATTTATTGTGGTTTAACCTGTCAAGGATAAAAACGCACAAAAAATGCTGCATCAAGGCTTGTAAGCATAGCTTTCATAGTTTTGTTAAGCCTGGATTGACAGCTTGGTGGCGTGTTGGTTAGCGCTGTTTCCTCACAGTAAGAAGGGTAAAACAGATAATATAAAACAGGCAAAAACAGTTTAAAAAGGTGAGTTTTGAGTTGTTTTTTAAAAACAAAACTGATTCCACAGTTCTTAATGTATGAGGGAGCGAGTTCCACAGTCTCGGAGCCACAGTGGCAAAAGCTCTGTAACCCTTAGTTCTCATCTTAGTCTGTTTTATAGCAAGTAAGCCCTGATCAGATGACTTCAGGGACCTGCTAGGGACTTAGGGCTGTAGCAAATAACTGCAACATGAAAATTATTGTCAGATTTATAAAATGTGTACCAACCTGTTTTGTTCTTTCCTTGGTGCATGTTAATGAATCCAAATGAGTGAAAATCAGTGGGCACGTGGTCACCATCTGTAACCTGCACACTGTCACACACTGTTATAAATTCTTTATTCTCCAAATAAAGAATCATGCTTACCTCATGGTAAGATGGGTACATGGTGAGGATACCGTAAGAGAGCGTGGTTAAGAGAGGGAAAATGAATGAGTAAATAATAAGCTAGGCTTGGCTTCAAATAACATCGGTCTAAATATTGTTTTCCCTGAGACACGCTGGCTCAATTAAACTAGCAAATAAATAAAAAAGAAAAAAAATCATTTCAATTCAATGTTATTTATATAGCACCAAATCAAAACAGCAGCTGCCTCAAGGTGCTTTATATTGTAAGGTAAAGACTGTACAACAATACTGGGAAACAGAGAAAACTCCAACTATCATATGACCCCCTATGAGCAAGCACTTTGGCAAGAGTGGGAAGGAAAAACTCCCTTTTAACAGGAAGAAACCTCCAGCGTAACCAGGCTTATGGAGGGAAAACCATCTAACAGTCAAATGTTTGATCATTTCTGAGACAGTCCTACACTTGTACGGACAAATTCAGGTATGAAAGTATGAATGTTTTGTGTGTGAAATTCACTGTTCATGAACGAGGCACTTAGACTGTAAACAGCATTTTAATGTCACAGCTATTTGAGCTGAGGGTAACTCTATCAGATGGAAGCAAATACTATTTTTATAATGGGTCTATCTGATGATTATTTATTAATCTTTCAACAGTCCAATACTAGAAAATATTAAAACTATTACAAATACACAAAGAAAATGGTGATCACAGTTGTAGAGATAGAATCGTGTGAATGGGGGAAACTTTGGTTGTGTTGTTATGGATGTTCTTCAGTTTATTTCATATAAAGGATGAATAATGAAGAAAAACATTCTAGATTTTTGCATTTTTATTGTTAAAAACTGCTCAAGATGTTGCTCAGTCACATTTCCATAGCAGATGGTGTAAGATCTTTATGCAGTGTCGGTGAGACGATCTTGCAGCAGATCAGTCAGGCAAAACACTCCTGTGGACACTCCTCTGTAGAAGGAAAAATGGAAAGTGTACGGTAATCAGTGCACATCAATTTGTATTTCAGGCTATTTTTATATAGAACTTCACCACCAATGTAAAAGTACCGGTTTTAGGAAGATGAACAATATTTTCAGGAAGGATGCCGGACTGCAAGCAGAGCTGGTTGAACTTCTCCTTCACCTCAGCGCTGAGGTCCAGACTACGTCCTGTGAAACCACGTGATGTAAATCTGCTGCAGTGGCTGCAACTTTACTTAACAGTTTACTGAACACAGCTAAATGCAACTTTACCATATAAGTTGTTTTCAACATAGGTTCCATTCTGTCCGGTGTTGATGTAATGATTCAAGGAGTACTCGTCAGGCTTCTCATCGACCACACGCATTTCAGTCGCTAACCCCGTGACTGACAAAAAGGGAAACAGCAGAAGAAAAGATGTGGAAAAAAAGTAACACTCAATGATGATGATGATGGAGCATTAACCGTGGTGGTTAAAATGTTTCCTGGCTTTGTGGGCGTACTCACAGGGAATGCTGTATGTGAATTTTCCAGGCACGTCAGTCTTGGATGCCACCACGTCTATTTTCCAACAGTTATCACTACGGGTGCAAAGACATAACATTAATCATCAGTGTAAATATTTTAATGCTCTCCAAATGGTATTTGCTTTGTCTGTCCTCTCGCACTCACGTAGGAAATGAGAAAGACGCCTTAAAACCCCCATCTTCATTTGGCTCAACCGTGACCGTGCCAGACTTAATACTGGCTTTGCGACAGACGAACCACTTGGAGTTAGAGCACATTCCAGTCAAGTACCACTTACCTGCACCCTGTGGACACACAAATGGAAAGCATTGAGAATTATAGAGAAGCACAAGAGCTGTTTATTGTAACACTGTGTGCGTGCGTGTGTGTGTGTGTGTGTGCGCATTTGTAATACACTGATGTATATTAGCTTTATTCATGCTATATCTTGAGAAAACATTTGCAGAATTTTACATCAAAGTTTGCAATGCTTATGTTTTGTTGTTCACACTCTGTTTTATATTTATATAGTTTTTTTGTTTGTTTGTTTGTTTGTTTGTTTTTAAAGCAATGGACAAAATAAATATTATCACGCAAAATCCAGGGTGAAAAATAACCAATTAACTTAAATGGTGAAGTCATTATAGAAGTAAATTTTGCAAAGGTCAGCCTCCTGTAAAGACTGCTAAACTGTGGGGGGTGCCCTGCCTATCCCTGTTGGATAAGCTCCAGCACCCCTTTTCCATAAGATGGAGATATTTGTATGAAAACAGATGGGCGGTGAAATAAAAAATAAAAAGTATTATGGATGACTCTTACCGCCTGTAAATCAAAGTCTGCCTGAGGTAGGATTTCAGAAGCAGAAACCATGAGGGAGCACAGTACCACTCCCAGAAGGGCGCCAAGTGAAGCCATAGCTGCTGAAGAGTGAAGAAATGATGATGATGGGGGAGTTCACAAATGAAGATCTGGAAGTTGCTGCCTGGTGACTCTTTATATAGAAGAGTGAGATTATCTCCCCACCAACCGGTTCACACAGTTTTTTTCTAAAGCTGACTGATTAGGAATCTCAAAGTTGGCTTTCCTTATAAGTAATACATGGTCTCAGTCAGACTGGACATGATCACTCCTACAGGAAGCAAAGTAAATGTACTATGATTTTATTTCACCTGTGAAATGATGAAAAACAGCACAGTAGCTTACGCTAACAAAAGCGTGTTGAAATGTTTCATTTTCTGCTGTTTCATAGGTCAAAAGGGCGTTGAACCAAACTGAACCTGAACTGCTGCTACTGTTGTCGTGCAGCATCTGCTGTGTGGTTAATCATATAAC